ATGGAAACAAAGTCTTTGCAAATAGGGAAGGGTGGAGGGGGTGAAGGGAGGGCAGTGGAAGGGGGAAAAATAAGAACCAGGATACTCATGTAATGGTACAAGATCCCAATGATGAATGTAACTGTAGTTTATACCTAAAATGTACCAATAAACTTAATGGGGAAAAAAAAGATACATGTTTTATTTTTGCTGTATATCATATATGCTTCAATATGTTGATCTTATTGAACTGAGAATTGTGAATTAGATTTTAGAACAAAAATCATCTCTTAATGATGCCTCTGGACACTGAATTAGATTAGTAGTTCTGTGAAGAAAATTGTGAGATTTACATTAGTTTACCAAATTATAGTTGTAAAAGTAATGATTTATAGTAAGATTTAAAAGTACACTATAAAATGGATTAGAAATATTTTTTAAATAATGAACTTATTCATTCAAGTCAAAAAATATTTTTATTAAGCACATTTCTAGAAACTTGGATACAAAAGTGACCCAGAGCCCTGCCCTTTCAGAGCTTTCTTGTGAATGAGCCAGGCCATAAATGATAACTATGACGAATAGTCAGGGAAGTTTCTTGGGTGGGGATCAATACTGTAAGGGGCTGGGAGTGGTAAATAGGGCTCTGAGGAGGCCTCACTGAGAAGGTAACATCCAGCAGAGGCCTGAATCAGGTGATGTCTGAGGCAAGAGCATTCTGTGTGTGTCTTAACTCGGATCTTGAACTTGGTAATTTATGTAAACTTTTCTTTAAAGAAACATGTATTGCATATTAGCTAAATATGCAAAGGGCCATTTCATCTTTTAAAATGTATAATTATCTTAACATGTGACTTTGGCAACTGCTACCAAAGAGCAGTTACTTAAATTATTTAAGCAAATTAAGACCACAGAACAAGGAAGAACTTTTCTGGAGAGGATAAACTTCTCTATTATGATTTCTACCAGCACTCTGTTATATGGTAATTTTTTAAATCTTTTGTCACCAGTTAAATCGGAGTGACAGTGACAGTTCAACCTTGGCTAAAAAATCACTCTTTGTGAGAAACTCCACTGAACGGCGCAGTTTGCGGGTCAAAAGGGTATGTATTCCCTCAGCCACATCCCACTGCTCTGGACCAATCCACATTCAGGAATTGCAAAGCATAAATTCCAGAACTGTTGGGTGTCAGTGTTCCATGCTCTGAGGCTGTTGACTGAAGCCACAGTAATCACACTGAGATGCAGATGTTATTTCAGTTACGGAGCCAGGCAGGATGTGCTTGAGAACATTCATTCATCACTGACTTGAAACCTGTGAAAATTAAGGTTGGAAATTGGTTTTCAGTGTCTTTAGAGAAGGGGCGTGCTGAGCCCCAAGTGCATCATTTCTAACAATGCTGCCAAATCTCCACACCATGTCTGGCTCTGGAGCAGTTGTGGGAGGAGTGTAATATCTGGTACCTTCTCTGAAGGAGCAGACACTCTGCAATGCAGTAGCACACAGGTCTTTGCATGTTTTTGCTTTGGTTTAATTTTTTAAGCACACAATTTTGTAACTTGCCTAAATAGTTATTTTTAGAAAGTTAAAATGAATATGTGTGAGGAGGCTCAGATCAAGTTTTCCTGGGGCCCATCAGTCTCTGGCTGAGTGTTAAGGAGAAGTTATAATATTTAAATAAATTAAAAGATCTCACTCTTCAAGTAGCTCAGAAATTCCTGTTTACTTACCAGTGGCTGAAATACTAAAGGAAAGCTATTTGTTTACTACTGTCATTTTGGATTAAAATGTGTTGTTTGTTAAGCATGGAGCACTGCATATGTTGGACTCTCATTGGTGGGGAGTTCACCACCCTCTGGAGTCCATACTTTAAGGGAAGGACTCAGGTATGCACAGTTGCTAGGGAAGACAGGGAGTGAGCTTATCTCCAGCTGAATCTAACAGAGACTCTGTGGGGTGGGGGTGGGCAGGTCCTGTGGCCTTGAGACCTGGGTAGAATTTTAAAGAAAATGGTTGCTTTGGGATAGGTAGGGAGTGTGTGGTGCAGAGGAAGTGATGGATGCTAGGAGCTGTTGGCAGATGAGATGGAATGATGTGGGCAGGAAAGGACATGTAGAGTGACTAGTGCTCACATTTGCCAGGGCCTGGGCACTGTGGATTGGAAGGTGGGGCTGGGGACTGGAGAGATGAGTTAGAATTATCCTCTTCCCCAGTTCTGCTCAGCTTTCATGCCACCACATCCAGAGTACTAGCTGTAGCTGTCTCCTTGGTTTAACTTCCTAGTTACTTGAAGATAATAAAACATTATTTCTTTTGTCTAAAGGCAGATGTACCAGGATTTATTTACCCTCAGCATTTGTAGGAAATTCTGAGATGTAAATCTTTTAGATAACCAAACTTTATACTTTGAAAGCACCTAAATTTTCATCATGTTTAGTGAAAATTCCTCTCACCACCTAAATCACCTGGCTTCTGAAGCAGCACATGCTTTTTAAGGATGGTAGCACACTTCAGAGAAATTTTAACCAGAAGTGTTTATGAGTTAAGTGGACCTGAAAACAGGTTATTTATAAACTTAGTTTTAGTACTACTTGAACCACACAGAAGTTTATCCTGAAATACTGTGTAAAGATGATTTTTAAATAGCTTTTAAGAGAGCAGATATGGTTCCACAGAAATGAAAATGGTCTTCTGATTTAGAAATTACATAAATGAAATAAATTACATAAATGAAAATGGCGTAGAGGTCTAAGAGAACAAAGCATCTGCAAAGACCAATAAATGGTTTACCTGACTAGAATATAAAGTGCCAGGAGTATGAGTGATGAGGTCAGAGGGGTAACTTTGGCAGTGATGAGTTAGACCCTTTTCATTCTGGCTCTTCCCAGTTCAGTGACATCACATGGATCTCTTATAATAGAAGCAGTTTATACCATAAAAATCTGAAAAACTCTATAGATCATTACTCCCCTATCCCCAAGTCTTTTGTTGAATATTTACCAGCATGCCAGTGTGCACTAGAGTCCTTAGAAAGGCTCCATATGTATAACATCTAGGAAAGATTTCTTACCAGAAAAATCATTAATACGGTCAAAGTGAATGTGACTCTGGATTCTTGCCATGTCCTGTATTTGTTAGAGAAGGCAGACGTTGAGAAAAAGGAAACCTAAGAATAAAAATGTTATAGAAGCCTAGCATCTAAATTTTTAGTAAGCATGCAGTACAGATATGTCGGACAAAAGGGGCAAGGACAGGAGAGACAGTTGGGTGTAAACCCTGAAATACCAGTAAGAGGCACAGACACTCCTTCTCCCTCTATCTCTCATGAGCTTCACTGTTGTTCTCATCTTCAAACTAGAGCACATGTCAAGTTTGAAGCCCTCTTTTCTCATATCACACAGCACCAGTTCTTATTAGGAACTTCCTATTTTCCATTACTGCAGCTGAAAACCTAGGCAAAAAACGCCATCTTGCACTCTCTTCATATGCTATCTTGCTCATATTTTAAGTTCCTTTCCTCAAATGAGTCTGATCCAGCTCTGAATGATCTGTCCCTTCCTTGACTTCTTATAGCCTTTAAGATACTAATTCACAGTCTGTTGTTCCTTACTGTCTGGTGGACAGTTATAGAAGATCAGAGATTGTGTGTTAGGGCTGGAGATGTAGCTCAGTGGCAGAGCACATGTCTGCATATTCACTGAACGTTTAGGTGCTAGGCTTCTGTAGCACTTTTATTTTTAGTTTTCTTTTATTCTGCCTCTGCCCTCTCAAACTTGCACAAGGCCCTGGGTTCAGTCCCCAGTTGTTGGGGTGAGGAGTTGTACTTGTCTTCCTCGTGTCCTGCCTACAAAACCACGGCAGACATTTATTCATACATAATCAATAATTTTTCCTCAACAAGGGAGTAACATTGGTCCCAGGGAAAGAACAGAAGAGCAGTAATGATTCAGTGGTGAAAGTAGATCGTACATAATGGGAAATCAAGGAAGGAGTTGGAATGTAAACATTGGTTGGAGGAGGGAGTCCGATTCTTAGCCCCATCAACTAGCTGCATTGTGGCCAGTACTCATGGAAGTGCTAGCAAAGGGATGATCTGTGGGGGTAGTTGTATGTCCTGAAATAGAGGACATGTAAGTTTCTTGTGACATACTTGTTTGTCACATAGACCAGGCGAAGCAAGGTATAGTTGAGAGGGTAATAACTTTATAAAGATCTCTGTGGCTTAAAATGATGCAGTGTATTTTTTACTGAGCTCCTTGCTCGTTGCATGTTGGCCAATGCTCTGCTCCTGTTGTTCTCATGGTGCCCAGGCTGTGATGGAACCCTCACCTCTAGCTACTTGCTGTCTGTCTAGCAGGAGACAGAAGTGTGCAGATCTCACCCTGGCCTTGGCAGGCTTCGTCCTGGAAGTAATGCATACCCCTTCTACCCACCTTTGGTTGGTCAGAGCAAGTCACTTGGCAGGATAGGCACTCAGTCCAGGGAGCAGTGAAGAGCAGTCCTGTCGTGCCAGGGAGGAAACAGGGATGATTTGCTGTGTTTTCTAACTTTTCAGACGGTTTGCCAGCCAGTCCTCAGAAGGACATCCCAAGAATGCCCTGTGCGCACATCTCTAGACTTAGAACTGGACCTTCAGGCCTCTCTAACCCACCAGAGTCGCCTCAATGATGAGCTGCAGGCCCTGAGGGGCTTGCGGCAAAAGCTAGAGGAGCTGAAAGCTCAGGGAGAGACTGACCTTCCACCGGGTGTGCTCGAGGATGAGAGATTCCAGAAGCTCCTAAAACAAGCTGAGAAGCAGGTATGGACCTCAGTGTTGCTCATCCCAACTCACACCACCATTTAGCTCAAAAGTGTTTGCCTCCTTTTTCTAGGCCTTGGAACATGTTTTTTACCCACTGCTATCAGGCTTTTTTAAACCCCGAATATTGCTTAAATACTAATACTGCCACCCACAAAGCTACAGATGAGAGACACCCACCATCCCTACACACACACACACACACACACACACCCCTCTACAGCACTAGTGACCAGTGACTTCCTGATAGTAAGAGAGCATGGCAGCAGGAGAGAAGGTCCTGGTCATTTCCCCTCAGCTTTACTTCTGTCTGAATAAATGATACATTTTGTTGAAATTTTCTATTAGTAGCGCTTCTTAAGATTCATTAATTATAAATACATGCTAATTTTAATGTTCCTAAATTTCACTTCCTTTCCTACCTTCAAGAAAGATTACACTTCCCTTACTGGCATTCTCCCTTGCTTTTCACCCTACAAACATCTATGCAAAATAAGATAAAAATCACTGATTAAAAAATAGAATATTTTAAAGGGACTGTTCTTATTGTTCCGCCACCTACATATTACTAAAATTTTTAAGAATCTGCATGAATATGAAATTTATTTATTCTCTGAAGATTAGAGTTTATATTTTGGTGAAATGTATATTTATATCCATATTACAAATAGAAGTTTTTATATAGCTGAAATATTACAAATGCCAAAATGATATTTTCTTTCAATCCCTTTGGGTGGGAAGTGAAATACAGTGGACACTTTCTTGAACTAATAAAAAATATTGTCCATAATGTAAATTTTCCTTTTTGGACCCAGAATAACCTTTTAATCTTGTAATTGTGGTTCTAATGGAAAAGTTTAAATAGCTTAGTTAACTAATGCTACTAATCATGAATAGAACTCAGAAATTTCCTGAGTTTCCAGAATCAAACTGATACCAATAATTTTTAGAGAAATTATAGGCAAGAAAAATAAACCAAAAAACCTATCTTTATCCTGTGCCACCTCCTAGAAAGAACCCTTCACAGATAATAGAAATGTTTGTTCAGCCTGCAGTTGAACTGTAACCCTATATTTGACAAGACAGTGAACACAGTATAATTAGACAACATTTTGATAAAGGAGATGGCCCAGGAATACCAGGTCCACAAGATAGATCTCTTCCTGGGGACGATAGGAGAGTTTTCTTGGAGGAGGCACACAAACTGAGAGTGGGTAGTGGAACTTCATCCCTTGGGAGTGGAGAGACCCCACGGGCTCAGGATGCTGCATTAGTAGAGGTCCAATTGAGTGTCAGACAGTAAAGGAAGAGCCTCCAGCAGAATGGTACCCACTGCAAGCCATCAGTTTACAAAACTGAAGATTGAGTTGAGAGCTGAAGTGACCTACTCGTATGTTTGTAACCTCCATGATCATAACCATCATTTTATCCGCTTAGGTCTTTCAATTCAGCATCAGCAGTAACTTAAACCAATCACAGGTTGACTTTGGCCAATCACAGAGAAACATTATAGTCTTTTTACTCCTATGGGTCAAAGATTTTCAAAGTTAAATTGGAGATTTACAACTATAAATATAAACAGAACATGGCATCTTTGGGGTTTGTGTTGCTTGTTTGTTTCTAGTTTGTCATAATATGAAATTCTAGATCCTTAGGTATCAGTAATTAGAAAGACATTGGGACTTTTTCACTTAATATCATGATGCTAAAATTTATCTGTAAATTGCAGTTTATCTTTTTTGACTGCTAACTAATCTCCGTTACATAGAGAGAAGCTCAGTAAAGAAAAAGCTCTTTGAAAAGAAAACCTGTAACAATAAAAAGTAGGTAAATCTCTGGCAGTGTTACTGAAGAAAGCTAGGGTGGTGGTGCATGCCTATAATCCCTGTAATCTCAGCTACTCAGGAAGCTGAAGCAGGAGGATTGTGAGTTTGACGCCAGCCTGGGCTACATAGGGAGACCCTATCTTAAAAAAAAAAAAATGGAAAGAAGATAAAAGAGTCACAAAACTGCAGATAACTTTGAAATTTAAAAGATAATTGAATGTTATAAAAAGAAGATATGCCTACAATTTGCACAAAATCTTGGGAAAATATGGAGTATAAGAACTGATAAAAGAAGGGAGGGAAAGTTGAAATGCCTATAACTCTTTGAGAAATATCAGCAGTGATTAAAAATCTATCCACAAAATCATAATGTCTATATGTTTTATAAACAGGTTCCCCCAAACTTTCAAAGAACAGATTATCTCTATTTTACATATTCAAAAAAGAACACACCATACTCATTCTGAGTAACAACATCTCTGATTCTGAAAGAACAAAGATATTATAAGAAAGGAAAGTCACAAGCTAGTTTCATTTATGAACATAGATTAAAAAAAAAAAAACGGACTAAAATATTAGTAAATAGAACCCAACAGCATTTTTTAAAAAAATACATTTTGACCATGTTGAGTTGGAGAATGATTCTTTTCTAATATTGGAAAAATCTACTAATATGCCAATCACTTTAAAAGACTGAGTAATAAATTTAAATCATTTGTAGGAAAGCTGATGCACCTTAACATCATATATTAAGTGAAATAAATCAGGCACCAAGCTTAAATATCACATGGTTCCTCTTATACGAGAAACCTAAAGTATAAATAATTTAAAGACCAAAATAAAAGATAATAGAAAACCAGGAAATAGGCCTTTTGAAAGTGGGAAGGGGACCAAGAAATGGAGGGAGAAGGGAGAGAGGTGAGGAGAAGAGGAAGTAAAGAAAATTCAGATGTGTTTGTGTGCGCGTACCAGCTTACCATGATGAATGATCATTATGTACCACATAGACTAATAAAAATGTTAGAACTGTTTTTAAAAAACTAAGGAGAAAAACAATTTACCAGTTCAGTGAATGCAAGAGAATATTGATAAAAGTCAATATTCATGTTTAAAACTTTTAATAAGTTAGAAAATTCCTTAATTTATAAATGATAAACAATAACCTAAAGCAAATGTGATCCTAAAAAGACAAACGCTGAAATCATTGCTTTTAAAGTGAGACATAGATTTTTCACAATCTTCTGTTCAACACTGAAAGAGTAATCAGTGCCTAAAGTCAAGAAAAAAAGAAGAAAGATTGGAAAGAAGAAAATAAAGTTGTCATTATTGGCAGGTAATATGGTTGCCTATGTCAAAAATCTGCAAGTTATTACAAATAATAAGAGTTTATCAAGTTGAATAGGTAGAATGATATATAAAATCTGTTACATTTCTATATATTGACCAGAACAACTAAAAAATTTAATTATTAATATTTATAGCAATTTCAAGTAATAAATTTGATATTCAGTATAGGGAAAACTAGAAAACCTTATGAGAAGTGTGTCAAAATAATTAAATTTATGGAAAAATACACCATGCTCATATAGAGCAGGACTCTGCATACTTTTCCTGTAGAGGGCCAGTTAATAAATATTTTTGGGTTTTTGGACCATATGCTCTCTATTGCTACTACTGAACTCTTCCAGTGTACCATAAAGATGTAAGTAAAGTAAATGGCTATGACTGTGTTCTAATAAAACTTTATTTTAAAAAACAGATGGCAGGCCATAGTTTGCCAATCTCTACTATAGAGGAAGAATTAATATTGTTGGAGATGGTCAGTCCTTCTAAAATGTGCCATAGAGTCTAATTCCAAGCCACATACCTCTGTGCTTTTTCATGGATACTGATACAATTAATGGAGGAATAAAGGGAGAAGAATCAGTAAGATAATTCTAGAAAAGAAAAAAGAGAGAGTGACTTGCCCTACAGGAAACCACGATTTATTAAATTGTTGAAGTACTGAAGGAGTGCAAAATTGGTAAGAATCACTAGATTGATCATAGTATGAAGTAGCCCAGAAACCAGTGCATGTACGTGTAGAGCATCTCTGTGGTGTAGCTGTCATGTCAGCCAGTGATGAGGAAGAAACTGCTGAATAAAAAGAGCTGGAATGGGCTGGGAGGAGAGGGGGGAGGCTCAGTGGTGGAGCACTTCTTTATCCTCCGTGAGCCTCTGGGTTCCATCTCCAACACCACAAACAAAGAAGCTGGAAAAAAAGATTACTATAGAAAAAGATGGCATTGGATCCCTGCCTAATGTATAAAAATTTACACTGGGTGGATTATGGACTTCAGTGTCAGAAATGAAAGTTGAAAACTCACAGTAAGAAATAGGGAAAATATCTTCATATTTTGATTCTTGTATCTCTAACCTATTCTGTGTCCTCCTACCTGGTTGGAGATAAGATAGATTGGGGCCCAATTGCTGAGAGCTTTGAAGGCCTGAATAATGGGAGCCACCACAGGTTGCTAAAGAGATGTTCTTTGGAAGGGTTATGTGGCAGTGATATGTGTGATGGGTGGCCAGAGTGGGAGACTTCTTACCTCCCCAGGGTTTAACACATTCTCACAAAATAAAGTTACAGGGACTTTGGCCTAACCAAGCATTATTTCTAATACTGATTTAAAAATAAGCCATTCTTGGGGCCGGGGATTTAGCTTAGTGGCACTGTGCCTGCCTCACAAGCACGAGGTCCTCAGTTCGAACCCCAGTAACAACAACAAAAAAGGCATTCTTCTGAAAGTAAAAGCTTTTAAATTATATTTCATTGCAGGATTCTGGTAAGATTTTTGCTATTGTTGTTGACTGATTCAAGACAGGGTTTTTTGGGTGACTCTTGTTTTTCTTCTACACTTAAAAAAAAAAAACCCTAGATTTGCCCTTAGTATAAACAGATGGAAAGGGGAAGGTCTATAAATCCCAACAACCTCTTAATACAAAATTTTGAGTACAAGTTTTCCCTGTAAAAAACAAAACACAAACCTCTTAATGCAAATATTCTCTCCCCAGCTCCTGTGATGCCTGTGGCCTAGGTGTAAACTTCCAAGGGAACGTGAGGCTACCTTTGCTTCCATATTACAGTGCCTTGTAGTAGATGGTCCACCTGACTTTGGTGAAGGTCTTCTGGGC